CGTCTGACATAAAACAAGTGATCAACTGGCTGGGATGCCAAGATGTATACTTCCGCCATGCTTCCCATGGCGAACTACCGCTACATTAAGAGCCTGCAGCTCAAGGCGCGCGTTGGTTTCATTTTGGGGTTTCTCAATGTGAGGGGGCTCTTAGGGACTTGTGGGGGTTGTCGGCATGGTAACCCTAAGTAAGGGGGCCCCAACAACCCCCTAGAATGGTACAGCTAATTTTGGGAAACTTCCACATAGAAGTGGTATTCGAAACCGGGGTGCCTTGTTTGGGGCCTCTGTCGATGTGGCAGTTTGCGCTTTGTGGACCCTACGTGCTAACATCGATTTTGTACATGTAGAATGCAATATGAGGAGGTTGTAACATGATATTGCATGCGTGGGTTCCGCAGGATGCATCAGGCAGTAGGATGTGCAGAAAACGTCCCCCGGTTGTGTTTTGTAGACATGTTGAACTTACGCCTTCGCTTTCAACATGGATGGTCCTCAAAGGTAGAACTCTTTGTACTCGGACCTATTTCAGGGCCCAAGGGTCCATGGGGCTACCTCTGTTTTGAGAAACGCCATATAAAAGCAGCCGTCATGGGGCAATGCCAGGCTTTCTTGCAAGATCTGGCTTCGAGTCAAGCAATATTTTTGAGATGCAAGGTTCTTGTGTTGGGTTCACGGACAATGTAACGGCTTGTGTTTAAGGTTCTGGGGTGCAAGGTTGTTTGAGGGGTGAGGGCCAGAGTTCAAGCTTCAAGCTCTGGGATTCACTGCCATGAGGGGCTTCCGGTCTTTCCTGCGAAGCACATGCATGCGTCTCCCGTGTGCAGCCAAATGGCATGTGAGCCTCCATGGCACGTGTCCCACTTGGGTGTATTGAATGTGCAAGAGTAGCCTTTCAGAAATGGCTTCCGGTGTGTTCACCTGAAAATTAGAAATTCTCGGAGTTGGAGCCCCTTATTTAAGCCCAAATTATCCGGACTTTTCTGGCTTGGTGGTTCACAGAATGATCCATGGTTTTTGGAAAGCCCTTGATAGCCAGAACATCGAACAAACGCTTACTGGGTTTTGTTTGATGCCTGGACGGAGGGCTCCATTGGCAGGTTAAATTCAAAAAGCTCTACCAAGCGTACTTCCCAACGCTTCTGAGAGACCTCATCTACGGCCGCTAGCTGAGTCGGCAAAGGTCCTTGGCACTGACGACGATGAGTGCTGCAAACGGGTCACGATTGAGGGTGATAGGTTAAGGGCATCTGTTCTTGGGGTACCATAAAGGCATAAATAAGTACCAACATTATACGTTACTAGATTTCCGGTATAAAATAGGGAACATGTTTCCACAAACTCACCTCAACACGACAATGGTAATTCTTGAGGCCCCTGTGTTATGCTATCCTGGTTGAAAACATTCGGAGTGGCCTGGGGAACCTCAAGAGTGCCGAAACATCCAACCAGCAGGGCCTCTCATTGACTGACCCTTTAGGATGCTGCAAAAATGTCAGGAATCCTAACGCATCGAAGACTGAACCCTGAATCCTGAACCCAAAGAATTAAACCCATGCCATTTTGCTTCCCCCAAATCAACAGGAAACCCACAAAGGGCCGACTACCGTTGTGTAGAAGAGGGCCTATTTGGGTTTTTAGTGCTGATGGGAGAATGTATCCCAGTCCTCTGAGGCGTGACACGGACAGCCCTGATTCGGCACTTCAAGCCCCCGGCGGTCTCAACTCCAGCAGGTATTTCACTCGGACTTGGTTTTGGAGTTTGGGGTCTAGGCTCTAGGTTGGTAACCTTGGACCTTCTGATGGAGTCTATGCATCCTCTTACCCGTAAAACTGTCAATCTTTTCTGGGCCAGGCCGCTCAGGAGCTAGGCGGACATACACACACAGCTTGTTATGTGGGGCTTTCTCACATGGACCCCTAGACCATCCTGAAGATTCTCTGCAGAATCATATATCTGTATGTACCCTTGGGAGGTCTAGGGGGCCCTGTGTTGCGAAGCCTTCATACGGGGGACTGCAAAATTGCAGATGAAGCGATTCATGGTATGCAGTACGCACAAGTAACCCCAAAGTCTGACGATCAACCATGGAACATGTTTGGATCAGGTGGCCAGAAGCTCGAAAGCTTGGATGTTGCCTTTGATGTTGCTTCTTCCTTCCATGCTTGTCTAGGTTGTCTGAGACTTGGTTTGAGCGAGTTTTTGCAAACATAAGGACAAAATACTTCTGGTATAGCAGGAGTTTCTCGAAGGTCTGTTCGAGGCAGGCAGGAAAGAGTTCAAATATATTGAAATCCTTCTTGGTTGCAGTCCTTTTCCATGTGCCCGTGACCAAAAATGAACTGCTCCTCTTATATCGTCACAACATCCCACAACACCAGACGGAATTCTAGCTGCATGGAAGCGACAAGAAGAGACACGCTGTGTGGAAGGGCCCCCTGGAATCCTATAATAAACATTAAACATTACCAACCCTTCTTAACACCAGCGTGTGGCACAAGTCCAAACGCCTTTGCCTCAGGTGATGCTTGGATAATGTTCATCTCCGTAGGTTTGGCGTGTGGTGGGCTTAGAGTCGCCAGCTTTTCTGGATGAATTGCTGGTGGCCATGGTGTTTTTTCCTGTGTAGAGCTGTAGTTGTGACAATAGCCGCTATTGGGTGGTATACATGGTAGTAATGGTAGTGGTCGATGGTCGTGGTAGTTTACTAGAAGAAGCAGCAATAGCAGCAGCCAGACAAGTCACGGTGGTAGAAGTAGCCGTAGTCACCGTCATTCTCGCTTTCATCATGGTGGCAGCTCCAGACTCTTTTGCCGCTAGCTACATGTCACAGCTATCCGTACCTACTAGTAGCCATGCTTTCTTCTTGGCTGCACGTTAATGGCAATGGTGAGTGTCCGTCTAGCAAGCCTCGGCCTTTTGGCTGCTGGACCCGAGGGCTTTGCTTAGCAGAATTCACCTGATACAGCACACCTAGCCCGCCTTTAACCAACAAGGTCTCACCCTGTGTCAGAACCCTTGGAAGGCAACATGCTGGTCCCTATTCGTTGTTCACTTCTGTAGTAACGGTGTCCAGAAAGCCTGGCCATCAAGCATGCCAAGAGTGGAAGTCGCTAGATGCACCAGTTCTTTCGAAGCTGACTCCGAAGGCCTTGCAGTTGTAAGCGCTCAAGCTGGTAGAGTGAACAGCGAATCTTGAAGCGCTCAGTTTTTTTTGCAGCGAACCACCCCGTCGTCGCATTAAAGGGGAGCGTTCTAGCGCACATCTCTCACCCGAAGCCCTAGAATTCGTCTTTCGCCCCTTGATGCACGGAACTGCTCAGTTACAAGGTCCGTTCCCTGGAGTTAATGTAGAATTGTATGTACTGGAGTATACAGCGCATGAAGTTGTCCCGTACCTTTGTCCATTAAGTATTTGAGGGAGCAGCCTGTGGATTGACTGTTCTTCGAGGTTTGGCGTCGGCCCCTGGGAACGAGCTGCGAGCGTGCCCTTGGGCTACCTGTACTGATTCGGCCATTTGCTACGAATGCAGGTCCTTTTGTGCCGCTAGAATCATGGAGGCACTGTTTGTGTACGGTCCTCGGAAGTCCCATGGCATGAGTGCATGATTGGAGGCTGGTGGCCGGAGCTGGTGCTTCATATGGGCGGTTGTCAAAATTATGGTCCCTTTTTGGGTACCCTAAATATTAGGTGCCGTAATATAATGGGGATCCAAAAAGGGACCATCATTTTGACAACCACCCATATGTTCATGCATAAGTTCATGATTGCTGCGTGGATTTTTAAGCCCTGATTCAGATTAGGATCTTATGCATCGCAATCGTTCACACCTCAGCGTTGACGCTCAAGCGGTGCATGTTCAGTTCAACGCACCACCAGTGGCAACATCATCGGATTTGGCAGAGCTCGTGTCCCTGGTTCGATACCCCGTCCTTTCAAAACGTATTGGTTTAAAGCGGTTCTACTCTTATGCCCCCTACTACAAGGATGCTTATGATTGAGGGGCGCATCATATTCAGTAACTTTCAGGAACCAGAGCAATTTCACTCATCCACAGCAGATTTAATTAAGCATTGTGCTTCTAAGACCTGTCCATCCCTAAACCACGCCTACCCCACCCTTTGAACAGTCACAAGAAACATCTCTCTCAACTCTCTCAACTCTCAACTATCTACGGTGGATGTGGAAGCTGCGGGCTTGGCGGCGGCTGAGTCACTTTGCTGCGGCTCGGACAGCATACGGCAAGGGGCCAGGTTAAGATGAATCTCTCTCCGAGAGCCCTATAAAAAGAAAGGGACAACCCAGAATGAAGCCCACAATTTGAGGAAACCCCCCCTTCTGCCCGAAGATGTCAGTCAATCCTACCAATGGCCCCTTTGTTTCTACCGCGAAGGAGGCGCCATGTATTTGGGATCCGTGAAAACCTTGTGTACTGACATCTAACTCCCTACAAGAACATACAAATGATGCCCCACTCCAACAGTCAGTTGAGCAATGTCTTATCGGGGGGGACTACAATCCAGATGACTGACGGATGTCCGTGAATACTACTATGATTATCCCTCACATAGAGTTTGAGTACAACCTGTCTTTGGTTAAAGCGCCTTCGAAGAGGAAGAGATACTGTCACTTGGTTGGTTCAATCATCAAAGCAAGCATTGCTCATCTGGGATTCGTACGTGCGTTGACATGCGTAAGGAATTGAGCGCTTGGTTTTGAGAGTAGACCCCAGGTGCTGCAGCCATGGCAGTGCTTGAGCCCCTCCAGGCAGTCAGCGCTAAAGCCTTGAAACTCCAAACCCAAAGATCCTTTGAAAGTATTAAGCCCCAAAATCATCTTACATCTTGGACCCTAAAGACCCTAAACCCACACCCTACACCCTAAACCCCACACCCTTCACCCTAAACCCTAGGATCCATAACACGAAGCATCCTGAATCCTACACAGGGTGCCGCTACCCTGGCGAGCTTCGCCGCAAGCCCCCGAACTGGCTTGGCCATGGCCGCAGCACCCCCAAGAGAACTTCAGGCAAGGGTTCAGGATTTAGAGTTTAGGGCGCAGGGTTTCGGGTTTAGGGCTTAGGTTTAGCGTAAGGCAGCCAGTTGCCAAAACATCTGCATGGCTTAGATCTAGTTTATGTAGCTCATATGTTGTTTTGCATACAGGGGCCATGCGGGGCCATACGGGAACCTCTGTAAAACTAAGAGGGGTACTTTGACCTGGAAGCGATTACAATTTGGCATGCTTTTCAGGAACCAACACCTCCCAAGTGTTAAGGAACTTAAATTAACTTACTATAATGGGGAGACACTATTCTTTACTATATATACCCATTATGGTAACTTAATTTAAGTTCCTTAACAGCAACCCAGTAAACTCAGAGTCAGCTTGATGGTGAAGGGCATGAAGTGCTGTCAGGTGACCAGGTGGAGAGTCATGAAAGCGAAGACACAGAAAGCAGGGACCATTAACCAGGGAACTCTGTAGCCGACTGGGCAGCAAGACCCCCAAGCATGAGTACTAGACACGAAAAAAGTCGACGGGATGGAGAACAAAACCTAAACTGCACCTTTTGGGCTGAACATTTGCCAACAAAGCGATTAAAGCTATTTGTCATACGGACTGGTGTCCTCTGCAATTGGGCCATGCTTTTATAGAGGGATATGGTTGGATTATCTTGGTATATATGGACTATTCTGAGGCTCTAAAAAACCACAGAGGAGACACCACCAACATTTATAAGACATAAATTTCCATTTCCTTTTCCATTATCCCAATATTACCCCAATATACTATAGAAGTTTCCATGTTCTTTTCCTGAGCCCCTGAGCTATCCAAGAGAAGGACCTTCGCCTGCGAGCTGACAATGATCCTAGCCCAGGGTCTATGACAAAACCCTAGGGTTTAGGGTTTAGGTTAGGGGTTTAGGGTTTAAGGGTTTAGGGTTTAGGTTTTAGGGTTTAGGGTTTTAGGGGCAGGATCTATGAAAGCAAAGGAGGGTGAGACGGCTCACGGGCAGTTCGCACTGCTGTCCGACTTCCAGGATGCATTCAACGCGAGGGATCTAGGGTATAGGGTGGACGAGATTGCAGAACATGTGTACATATGTGTACATGCTACTACTTTGACAGCGTTCGCCTATGTAGGCGGGGTTCCATGCTTTCATGACGACTTTTTTGGAATTTGCGTCCCCCAAAAAATCCCGAACCACATCAAACCGTGAACTTTTGCGTATAGCAGCTTCAAATCACTCAAAGTGGCCCAGTTGAAGAAATCAGATAGCCTGAACACCTCTGGATAGGACTCCAACACGCCAAGCTCCAAACCCTGCAGTAGGGGACCGAGGTGCAACTAAGCGCCACAAACCCTAGAGATTGTACCCTAAACTCACTGGTTGTAAGTAGGGAATATGGGAATGTAATCCTTGTGCTTTCCCTATGGAATGTATTTCCCAACCAAGAAGCAGTACCTAAATTAATGCTGCGGCTAGGCGGCGGAGGTGTTGATCAGGCAAGTCTACTTGCCAGATTTCGCCCCGCCGGTTTGGAGTCGTGGGCCCAGCCCATGACGAAAGCATCAACTGAGCTGTAGTCTGAACTCCTTAACGGAGGTTATAAGGGGATATATTATCGGAGAGCAATACAGGGGTTATTCAGGGCGATACGAGGAGTTTAGACTATAGCTCAACTGGTGAGGGGAGCATACTTTAACTCCTAGAGTTAAGTTTGTAGAATAAAGGCCTTTAGGCTGTTTTTGAGAGTGTTAGGCCATTATGTTACCTGCTTTCAGCGTTTAGGTGACAGCTGCCTAATCCAAGTCATTCAGGCATTCCTGTCAATTGTATAGTACCTAGTCGTAGTGACTTGGGATACCGAAAGCGTGATAGATGCGATTGGTGGTGGGTTGCGATGTCGGTCACGGTGGCAATGCTACAAAGGGTCCAGATTAATGGCTGTAAGAATGTGGAACTCTGATTGGCCCAAATGTTCCCTGATTGCACCAGGGAGTGTTGCTTCGTGTGGTAAAGCACGGTGTTGTGACAGGCACGGTGATGGGCCAACCATGTTTCGGCTCCAAACCCAACGGGGCCTTAGGTGATGATTCTGCAAGGTCTATCTATCGATCTATATATATATATGTATACATATATGTATATATATATATATTGGTTATACGACCGCCTGCCCGCACACCTTCGCCCGAAGCGCGCGGACAGATAACCTTCAGTTGACGTATTGCCAGGTCTGGATTGGATGAGGAGGCAGTTCAAAGGAGATGGGACGCTCAAAGATGAGTCTGCATTCTCTAGCGCCGGGTCCTCTGAACTACACAGGATTCTTGGGAGCTTTGTGTACTGGATTGAGACCTCAAGGATATCGCGCAGAGTCATCTATGAACCCTCTTTGGAGTGAAGGGGCAATAGTTGTCTTTGCACCCTTCGGGGCCATGTAGATACATAGTATATACTTTAAACTCCCCACAAGTCTACACTTTCCCTACATGGGTCCTTTGGATCTTAAGCTTTGCACTCATACCGTCTCCAAAGCATGCCTTCGCTGCCGTAGACTGTGGCGTAGATGTGGGCGTTTCAGATTGGAGGCTAAGGGTTTAGGGTTTAGGGTGGTAGTTGTGGGTGCTTCAAATTTGGGAGCTAATGGGACACTAGGGAGGGCGGGACTATACAGAGAGTCATTATATGCTTCTGAAACTAGTTCAGCATAACTAATAAATGGTTACCTTCTTCCACAATGCAACGACAAGGTTGTGTTTGCCTAGAGCGAGGTGGGTTATTGGTATACAGGGGGGAAGGATTGGCGGTCGTCCTCTCAGCGAAGAAGCCGCTGCCTTTGCTTTGAATATTCTTGTGGTCATACCTTGCCTGACCATGCCGTGGGATCTTTTTCAAAATTCCAGGTGCCTATTGGATCTCCCAGACAGAGTTTTTGCCACCTTACTACAACTGGGACCACTAATTTTTACAGCAAGCCTTTCCTTCCAGGGCTGGGCTTCGAACCACGGATGTGCAAGACACATACCCCTACGTCGCAACTTGCAAAAGCTCAGCGCGCAAGGTCCGGGTCTACTACCCAAAAGGGGAGCGTGACCTTGAGAAAGTGAAGCGATTGGTCACACAGAGGGAGCCGGTGAATATCGCCCGGATCTCAGATATCGGCTTTCCTGTCCAGGCTGCGCTTGGGCTGCGTATGTTGTGGTATATCTATCAAGCCTTTTGTCATGTTTGGCATTGAAAGAGCCTGGTTGGGGGTGTAGATCAGTGTCTTGAAGGTGCATTCCAAGGGGAAGCTTCTGTCGTCGCAGGAACCAGTAAGTCAACCAACAATCCGCTGCTTTGCCGTTGTTCGTGTTCACTTCATCATTCCGAGGCCATGGAGAGGTACTATGACCAACGGCTGCTGAAACGCGAGTGCGCTGGGCAGGGAGGGGCCATACTCTCAATTCGGGCACAAGGGTGAACTCATATGGCCCTGGGTGGTCCATGCTGCCCCTCTCGAGACCCAGAAGCACTTTTTGCATTCCAGTCAGCACCAATATTTATGTTGGTCGTGGCCGTTCAGCCAGAGAACTCGGGATGGTTTTGACGTTGCAGATAGAAATCATTTCCAAACGTTGCAAGTCGTTCAATTTTGTGAGGCGAACGTCGGGCCGAGCCAGGTCTATCCGAAAAAGAGGTTACGTATAGGGATAATGGAAAAGAACATGGAAACCACTATATCATAATAGGGTATATATTGGGGCTATAGTCCCCCTTAAGTAAAGGGGTCCTCTCCCGTTTGTGAAAAAGGCTAAATCATGAGCCTGAACCCGCATGTCCCTAATCCCAAAGTTAGCCTGAGAGGCCGACACGTCATTTTTTGTGGAGATCCGTGGAACGATATCAACACTCACATATGGCACCATTAGGGAAGCGGAGAAAGGGCCCCCGTGACTAGCCCCCATATACAAACGCATGACAGTTCCCATATTCTGCCAACTCACCACCCCGTAAGGCACCAGTGTAAGGGTTCATTAGGAGCTTGGGAGCAAGCGTCTACAGGCGCCTCATAAGGTTACAAATGAATTTAGCAGAGAGACGGCTGAGCTCCAGAATTTTTTTTATAGCGCGATTTGTAGCAGCAAATGAATGTATACAGAACAGACGGCAACAAGCTGTAACACGGACGCAGCGCGATTCATGCTACTCTTGCATTGTCATAGCCTTTTGGGGTAAGGATAGGCCTGTATAGGTTAAAAAGCTTGCATAATTTGTATCAAACAAAACTCGTGTCCATTTCAAGTCAGTGGCTCCTCCAGGTTTGGGTACGAGTTCGGCGCCTACGCAGAAAGCTGGAAGGCTAACCAGCAACTCATGCCCAACATCGCAGCTGGGCTGTATTTGGCTCCACATGGGGGGCTTACGGGTCAAAAATGAAGTGCTCGAAGTCATCCCGTTCTGCTCAAGATCTTATGTCGTGTGTTCCTCTAACAGTCGCAGGCCAGCATTTGTAGGGGAACGGGATTCGAGGTTCAGCTAAATCGAATTTAGCTCGGGAGTAGGTTTCACCCGAGCTACCAATGAACAACTGCACAAAAACACTCATGCAATTGCTTGCACGACATAGTTTCTTACATTGTCCACCTCAAATCGCTTAAACCAGGCCTAGTTGCAAGCCATATTCCGTTCCTAAACTCCGTTTGCATCTTCATATCTTCCAAAACCTTTTTCCACTTTGGTAATCCTTCTTGCGTGTATGTGAGCTATTTCAAGCTTTTTTGTCCGAATGCGCTCCGAACGCACCAGGCTACGCAGCTCCTCCCATCCTTTCAATACGTTCAGCCTTTCCACGGGCGCTGCCACTATCAGTCCTTATGTGGTTTGATAGGGTTTTCTAATCATGCCCTTCCGAACTGTCTCACATGATATCCACTTCTTGATCAGACGTGCAAGTGCCAGCCCTTTTTTCTAAGTTCCAGTTTCCTCATCATCTCCGGCAAGTTAATGGATGATTCATGAAGTAGTTTTATAGTGCTCACATGTGAGAGACCCTTGAAGAGAGATAAGCATACGAAGTTGCAGTCACTTGCCTGTTACATGTTGAGTTGGCGACTCTGCACTATAATGGCCTGTACAAGACAAGTATGGCATTGCCGACGTCTCAGCAATGCGATTGAGCTTCTGCCTAGAAGAGACCAGCTGCAGAGCTCGCCGACTCTCAGACCATGTTTCTTAGTGTCTAACAGTCAGCGGAATTGCAAATATGGCTTAGCAGCATACAGCGCACATGGCTGTCTCTGACATGTTTCAAGTTCCATAGCTTCCATAAATAGGGGGAGCTCAATATGGAACCCAAAATATTATAGTCTCATTATGGGAGCCCCCAACATGGTACCCTTAATTTTGAGCCACCCCCATTTGGTTCACGAAAGAATCGGCGCGGTTTCGGGGCCTAGAAAGGGTTGCAAGTTCAGGGATGAGATGGCTAAGGCATCCGCAACTACAACACGTAGAGGCCTAAATAAACACCAAGAACGGTTCCAGATTTCTTGGGCAATTGATTTTGGCATAGGCGTACCTCGAATAGACCTCAACGCATAATGCTTGCATTTATTCAGGCCGCACAGTAGCCTGACAGCTTTAACAATCCAGGCCTTTTCCAACTCTTCTGTATAGAACCCCTGTAACCCCTATGCACCCCTTCAAGGCCCTAAACCCTATGAAACCGTATATATCTCCCTAGAATCCCTATAATCCCTTTAAAGATTTGTATGTGGCTTTGCTTTAGTCATTGGGGTTCTGGCCCTTCGGCCACTCCCAAGTTTCTTGTGGCGCCCAAGTTTGAGACTCCAGACTTTGCCATGTGAGCTAGAATCTAAACTCCTTAAAGGGGGTGCTATAGGGGATTTTTATAGGGGACTGCTGTAGGGGTTATTATGGGGGATACTAGGAGTTTAGACTATAGCTCATGTAGTCCATTATATATCCCACAGCCGGAGCTAAAAGTTTCAGGCACAACCCCATAGAGGAAACGTGATTGTTTTTTGATAGGCTCATACCGCATCTCCGCTTTTGTCTCCATAGGAGAAGCAAACAGAACAGAACATTGTAGGCACCCTCCAAAAGAGGGTAATTGTTGAGGCATAGGCCGCTAGGTGAGGTTTATGTTATGGATTTCATATCAGCCTATCCCCCATACATCGGAAAACCTTGTGAAGGCCATATACTGCCGAACGCCGATGCGCTGCTGGGATGCAAGGAGCTTATAATGGCTGCATGCAATTCTATGGGGCTTAATGTAGACCCATGATTAATAAACCTCCTCTTAAAGGCCTTAATATCAAGATTCCTATTAAGGGGAGGGGCTTTATTAATCAGGGGTCTACATTAGGCTGCAGACTATGGCATAGTGCCAAACTCAAGTTTGGAGTTTTGGGGCCTTGGGTCTAGGGTTCAGAGACAAGGAGATCAGCAAACTTTGTTTTTGCATTTTTGTACTTTCCATGGCATGTTATCGCCCGCAAAAACAAAAGACGGACGTCACGGATGCACCTACTCGGAGAAATAGAGATTAGGAAGGTATTTGTCAAAGGAATCGGGATACTGGTGTGGAAGGCTGTAGAAGAAGTGTGCAGGTTTTTGGCTGCTCTTCGCGTCTTGATTCTCAGGAAGCTCTCGCTGGTAAGGTCTGGTTCCAAGTTCAAGTTGCTGGTTCCCTTTCTTTGCAATGTTGCAGTCGTCTGACGCCGCAGGGCAAGCTTCATATGCTTGAAGCACATACGAAGGGTGGATTATGCCTGACAAGTCGCCGTTCTTACTTTCATCCTTGTGGACAATCAACACGCCTTACCTCTGTTATTACTATTTTTAGGACTATTATTAGTAGTATTACTATTATTAGCACTATTAGAACTATTATATTACTCTCATTTTTACCCTTAAGCTTTCAACCTTGGTTGGATCAAATTGGGGACTAGCGTTTTCCTTATGGATTTTTCCATGGTAAGCACGGGTGTATAGATGTCTTCTGACTGGACTTGGGTAGGAAATAAGGGAATATGCCGATATCATCCTACAAAATCCCGATAGTCGATTCCCTTGTTACCTGCTAACCGCCAGGGAGACTTATACGCAGGCTTTCCTGATAGGACCCTGCCAGCTCTTCATCGGTTCATCGTGCCTTTGTAGCCCGTTCTCACATTTCTAGCTTGCCGGCGGGCACTCGCTATGGTGTTATCGCATGGAAACGGGCAACACTTCGATGTTCATCAACTCCCTCGGAGCTGTAGGGAGTCCTACAGTAATTCTTGCTATGCCCTGCTGTTTACTTAGTTTGCTCGAACAAGAATTTTGGGAGGCTCGCCTCGAGATCCTCACGGCGAACCTGTAGAAGCGCATGTCATAAACGTCATAGGCAAGGCATCCGCAGACTTGGGGTTGATGTGAGAGTTTCTGTTTTGGGGGTCAGTACCTAGAGAAATATGGGGGTGATGTGAAAGACCCGTGTACTCAGATTTCCGGAATTCCGACTTCCGCATAGAAGAAGTGTAGCACAGCTTGTCAGTTGTTTAGAAAGTCCATGTAAAAGCACCAGTCCTGGTAGATGCACAAGTTTTCGGTCCCAGGATGTGCTGTAAGTACAGGCCACGGCTGTCTTGCTGAGTCATCTGGACCTGCCCTGTTTTGCTAGTTTCCCAAAATAAGCGGACCCCAAATACTACAATCCTTTTATGGGGGCCCCAAAAAGGTACTACCAATTTTGGGAAACTCCCATTTGTGGAGTTCCTTTAGCTGTCTAACTGCCAGATGTGAGTTTCCTTGAAAAATTGTCATGTTAACTTGTTGTGGCAAGTCTCCTTACTGTGGATTATTCTTCTGGGTGGACTAGATTGTTACGTGCGGCGCTTAGTTTTGGAACGGCTGTTTGGCGTACTAGAACCTTCTTCATGAATCGGAATTGTGGGCTGAGGCTTAGAGTTAAAGCCACACCACTTTGTGAGAACAGCCATACGGCTGAGTTTGAGCCGTCATACCCTGTTTTCCCCAATGTTTTGCCACGCCTGCCTTAACCAGTCGTATGGTTCTTGCATAATATGTGGGTGGTTGTCGAAATGATGGCCCCTTTTGGGGTACCCTAAATATTAGGTGCTGTAAGATAATGGGGATCCAAAAAGGGACCATAATTTTGACAACCACCCATATAGACGGCATGGACCCAAAATTTGTTCAGAACAGGTGCAGCAGAATGTCAACTGGGACCCCCAAATCGACTGAACACTACTAAAATTCTTATGATAGGTATGTAATAGGTATTGTACCTCACAAAAAAGGACCTCCCCCAATTTTTTGAATATCCCCATATTCAGAATTTCAAAGCAAACTCCAACAGGTGAGGATTTGAGGGTATAACCTGCACCTCGGAGTTACATGCGCGGGTTTTGCTGGATCATGTACGTTTTATTATTCCAAGCCCCATGAGAAACACATTGGGAGTATACCAACACAGAACTAGTTCAGGACTGGTAGAGTAAGTTCTTATGTCCATGATTTCAGTTGCCAACCTTACTAATCAGGAATGTTGAGAGCCCCACAGGACCGGGTTCCCCGGCTGCAGGTCTAAGTTGACACCCTCGTAGTCTTGTTATTGCTACCTTGATGGAGCTGCAGCTATAGTCCCCCGTAAGTAGATAGAATATGGCTTCGGGTCTATTATAATAAGATCCCCATATACCCCATATTCTATCTACTTAAGGGGGACTGTATCCTCCCCAGGATCCCAACTTGTTCTTCTTCTTCTTCTTCTAGAATCTTCTAGGTAAGAGCCCCGCATCACAAGCATGCCACGCTGGAAGGCTTCGGATTTGATTCGCGGGAGCAGCCGGACTATCAGTACTTTCTTGGCAGCTTGCCAATGAAATTGTTAATTCGATCTCCATTTCATTGTAGCCGAATATTTTTGGCTGGTTGATAGTCTGTGGTATTCATGCGGTCTTCAACTGAGACAGTTCCTGCACTTATGGTGCGAGGAACTGATGTTTTGGCCCGCCACCTGCTGAGTAGCATGACGCATGCGAGATGTCATTCCTTGGTTATTGGTATCCATCATTATTCGCCATAAGTAGTTATGTTGCTTGGAGGGAGTTGTAAAGCCACCGGGAAACTTCGTTCTTACTGTAGGCCTCAGACATCAGACATATTTGGGGATCTTGCTTGTGATAGTTTCTCCTTGAAGCTTGCATCAGCTCCTAATCCCGGCTTGTGCCACTGGAACGCAGATGTCCACAACGCAGACGTCCATAGGCCCATGTTGGCTCCTTTGTGCCAGATCTAGGCTTGACATTGTTAGTTGCTTGTTTGGCTTTGGAAACTCGGAACTCACAACCCTTGAACAAAAATGAGGTCAGCGGTCCGGGGAGAAGTGGCCTGAGTTGGTGCAGAGGACAGGGCCAGTTGCAAAGCTTTGTATTCACGGCGCCCGCTCCAATTTTGGCCTGGCAGTCCTCTCAACCTTATCCCCAATGCTTCATGTGGCTCGCAATAGGCTTTTTTCGGGCTTTGCTTTGGTTGCGAGAGTTGGCATACGGTGGGTGAGGGAATTTCTCCAGAATCGAATTGAAAACCTCGAGATTGACACCCTGACTTTGCTTGAGGCTCTTGGAAGCTAATCTGTGTATTTTGAGAGTTTCTCAGAAGTACTGGTACAGATACGCCCATAGTCCGCTTTGAATTTGACATCTCCATAGGTGCCAAAGCTCCCTGAGTAGGGCCCCCCACTTTTGAGAAAGCTACACAGTAGTTCCCATAAACAGAGGAACCCTGTACATGATTAGACCCCAAGGATATTACAACCCCTTGTATACGGACCCCCGAAATAAGGACCGATCACGTTTGGACACGAGACAACCCCCTGAGCCTGACCCTTGCCTCGCCCTTGGGCCAGTATGAAGCAGATGTGGCGCTATATCTTTGAATGCCGGGATCACAGAATGGGTCTTCTCAAGCTAGACCGCCGTAAAGAATTCCATGCAAGTATTACGGTAAGGTAGCGTAAGGTGGAAAAGTCAGGATCGCGTAAGGTTTGTTCGAGGAGGCCTCAGCGTTTTTTGAGTGAAGGGCTGGTAAGATTCAGGAGAAAATTCTTGGGCTGAGGGGTTTGGCAGATGTCCTGGGTTGAGCATGAAGAAGTGATTGGCTTGGGTCCTTCGTTTGAGGGTACTGAGGGGACTTCCACACATGTTATATCCAGGTTGTACTTGAAGCTTGTAGCAGGATTACCCCTTCTTCATTGCGCATTGTGTTCAGGTTTAGGGTAGATGGCGCTGCCGCGCACCCTCCGCTGCACAACCATGGTGTTATGCACCAGCGACAAGGGCTCAGCCCGCTGCTGTCGTGGCATTAGGTTATCGCTGGGACAGCACATGACGACGCAATTGAGAGATCTCTTCAGGTATGCGCAGCAATTCATACTTAGCCTTCACACTTGGCTTGATCCTGATCTGTCTTACCAGGGCCCCAGCTGGGGCGCATTGCAAAGACGTGTTAATTGAAGCTATCCACTGTCAGAGAAAGGAATTGTACCGGGCTCTTTGACTCTTTGGGCCGACCTGCAAGATAGAGGTTCTCACCAACCTGAGCATCAGGCTGCCCCAAGTACCAAAAGTTGTCGTGGTAGTAGCGCTGGGAGGAGGAGGACTTACAACCAAGCAAAAGACCACCGCATCTTTTGTTGGTTTTAGCCATGCTGTGAGACTTCAATCCCGTTTCCCAGGTGCCAAGAGAGAAGGCCGGTGCACGCCATGCCTGCAACACGGTTTAGGGGGAGGTTTAGTGTAAATGGCTTAAGGTTTAGGGTTTGGGTTTTAGGCTTGGGGTTTAGGATTTTAAGGTCTAGGGTTTCGGATTCTGGAACCATGACAGTCCTTGTCTCCGGTTTCCATATCAGAAGCCTGTTTATGGACCTGATAATTTTGACTAGCGGTCAAGCCAGTTCTAGGTTGAAGGTTTGCAGTCATTCACGAAAATTTAGGATATGGTGGTTTCCCGGAATAGGGGGACCCCAATACAGCCCCAACATACTACAATCCTTATTCTGGTGACCCCCAATAAGGTTAAGGTAATCCACTAATTTTGGAAAACCCTAAAACCTACACCCCCTATACCGGAAGCTTTGAGCCGTGCTTCATCTCCAGTAATGGCGCTCGCAAACAAGCTTGTGCCTGATGAGAGAGCAAACGGGAATGGCGAAGCAAGCGGCAATGAGAACAAGAGTGCCCTGCTTCTTCACATGGGACATTGTCAAAAGTATGCTCCCTTTCTGGGTCCCTATTATAATACGGGGCCTAATACGGGGCCTAATTTAGGGGACCCAAAAAGGGACCATAGTTTTGACAATCCCTCACATACCAATTTTCTGATCAACTTTGCGGTTCTTGGGACACCACATCAGAGGGCCAAGCTGGGAGCAACGGTTTGCTTGAAGACTGGACCTTGTGAGCAGTCTCAGCCTTGTGTGGCTACATTTTTTACGCGTGATCCCAAATGGGAATCAAAGGTTGGGGACTGGGGGTGTAGGGCCCCAGGGGTTGGGAGAAGGGCTTAGGTTTGAATGAGTACAGGTTTAGAGATTGGGATGAAGGATTTAGGGGTTGTAGGGATTTGCGGGTGACCATTAATGCGTGAGAAGCAACCGCCATAGATGGTGGCTGCTAGACCTGTCCAGTCCTGAACGCATGCCCCTATATCCCCTTTGAAGGTACTCCTAAAATGGGATCCGATATTTCCAATTTTCGAGGTGCCAGGATGTCCAGATTACAGGGTCCAGGATCTAGTATGCATTCAGGTTTTGCGGTTTGGGGTTTATGGAGGGGAGTGGGGGTAGTGTAGGGTTTAGGGTTTGGGGCTGCCTGGTCGTCAGTTCAAGGTGGCGGAAACCTTGGGCGTTCCAGACATGATTTGGAAAGCCATTTGGTCTCTGCATCCAACAAGTCCACCTGGACCATGCGAAGCAAAATGCAAGCAGTAAAGGTTGGGTCCTTGCCCCTCCCAGAACGGGGCTTTAGTACAAAGGGTCTCTATAACTATTAGAATCCATTGTGGTAACTGCTTCTGTATAGAGGAATGACCCAACGCAGAGGTTCGCAATGAACTGCCCAACTTAGATTTCTTCTGCCTCATATCACGTTGGCCCATTGCTCGCCTGTGGGTTGTTGTCGAGTTGCCAGAGTGGGTCAGGGACAAAGTTCCACGGTGTTCTCATCAACGGGTAGGTAAGTCCCCTAAGCTGTAAATGTTGGGTTTGCAACTGCAACACGCACAGCCCAGCTCCTGAACACTCCCAGATTTTTGAATGAACCTTGCCTGCACTCCGCTACTCGCAACTTGAAAGTGCTTGTCATTGGGATAGCAGCGATCTAGGTAAGGGAGGTTTTCTGAAGGGCTTGGTGGTTCCGTGCAAGAACTTCATGCATATGCCACAAGCCTTAAGATTGAGACCATGTTTTTCAATGCAGACCCCTGTATATGGGTTATTCTCAAAATGTTGAGTCCCTTTTGGCTATGGATGAAATGACCGCGCATGAAACTTATAGGGATACCAAAATGGGGCACTAATTTTGAGAACTGCCCACATGTTCCGGCCTTCCAACAGAAGTTACTTGCCACACCGGCCCTTAACCTGAACCCCCGTGCTCAGCTGCACAGGGAAGACGCACCCGAGCTGCATTTCGAAAGTGAGTGGTGCTTTACAAACTTAGTTCGTGAGGTAGTTGTAAAAACGATCCCCTATGGCGGTTTAAGAGTGAACATGGTTAGAACATTTGAGGTCTTGTAAAGGCTGACGTACCGCATCTCAGATAACGCTTCATGAGAGGAACTCCGTTGAAGGTATTTACGGTTTCGAAGATTGACATGGTCAGCTGTCCTTTCGTGGTGCGTTGTCATGCACCTATTGTAACTTCGGGCCTTCAAGCCAAATCCCTTCAGACTCTTGGCCCAATCACCTTGTTGCTGCTTGAACATAGCGAAGCAGTTGGATCCTCAAACCCACAAGCCCATACCAGAAGCCCCAAGCGCTGTGAACTCAAAGGGGTTATGTCGAGATCATGTAGGGTTCAGTGCTATTTCCCCAACTCCCAGTTCGGTTGCCCATGCCATGGGAACCTGGACCGTGTATGAAATCATTCCCTCATGTTCCTAGAAAAAAAGCATAAAATGCAACCCGGCCCAATGCCATTTTTGTGCACCCTAAACCTGAACCCTAACCCTATAACCTCTGCAAAGCCTCTACATTACCCCCGTGTGCAGAACACAGGCAAGTGCTTATTGCCGCCGTTGGCGGCGGCGCCTTCAGCTATCTCTTGGGCGGCCGCTATGAAGAGCTCAAGGCCTCAAACTCCACATTTGGGATTTTTGATCGACGGTCTACAGGGTTCAGATTTCCGGAAATTGAGAGTTTACCTAAGGCTGACTTGAGGACATCACCCACAAACTTTGGCCTTAAGGTCCATTAAGGTCCCAAATAGGAGCTTCCCAAAACATCCCGGCTTGTATTATGTTGTGGAAGCCATGTGGGGATTTCCCAAAATTAAGGGTACCATTTTGGGGGTCCATATAATAAGGACTATAGTTTTGGGGGGTCTATATTAGGGTCCCCCCTATTTTGGGAAACTACCATGTCATCCCCACGCCGTATGCAAGTCCCCAAGATGTGGATTGCAATCTGAGACAGTGCCGGATTTGCTTAAACAGGTGGTCTGAACGAGTGCCAATCATCATGGTCTTTTTGCAGGCGTCTCTGAGGTTTTGGGCTTAGTCCGTGTATTCAGGATATGGTAAAATGCAAGTTTTAGTTTTTGGCACTTGCTCTTGGATTGTAAGAACTTGAGATTCAAAAGCCCTAGCTAACCCTAAAAACCGAAATCTAATGTACCCTAAAGATTCGGGGCTGTTTGTTTTGCGTGGTTTTGGGTTTATTCGAACGCTTCAGATTTCATGGGTCATGGGAACCCTGAACCCATGTCCAACTCAGTGGGCCCAGCGAAGCAACAGGGATTTCGTTTTTCTCGTAAACACATTACTTTGGGTTTTGGGATTTAGGGTTGAGGGTTTAGGGTTGAGGAAACTCCTCAATACCAGTTGCCCATTCTGATGCCAAGCTTAACATCGGAACAAGAGCAGGACTGTTGCTACTGTAGTTCAACCCACGTCCGAGCGTATGCTTGGCCTAAGCGTGACTTGCACAAGTTAGCAACTTACCGTTTTTCGTCCAAATTCTGAAATGCAAGCCACCCCAACATCCGTACACTCCAACACCCGAACCCAAATCTCTATACTCCAAACTTTGAGCCCCGCAGAATTCCTAGACTTTACGCCGAAAACCCCGAATACCTAAGTGGACTGATTGTCTTGCAGGATGCATCCCTGGGCCCGGTGCAGAAAGAGAATCTCGGCAGCATAGTTCTTAATGCCATTCCCGCTAGCAGCACGGACTGTTGTGTCATCATTCGGGTCTTACAATGAACCTCCCTAAACACTTTGTGCAGGCTGAGTGAGAAATTTCGACGGCAGCCGCTTCGACTTCGGTCGTAATTAGTTATGATCCAACTGTAGTCTTCGTTGTTGAAATGTTAGTTGGGTGGTCGAACTTTGTTGTGAAGGCCCGGTGTCCATTGTGCTTGTCAAGAACACTCGTTCCATTCTGTGTAAAGTTGTTCGATCATGGCGTCTCCAGGAAAGCTTCTCGCGGGCCCCACGCAAGCCATAACCATACTGACTGGATGTGCCGTGACCCCATTGCATTCCGGCAATAAAGAATTCTGGCGGAAAGATGACCACCTCTAATTCTTTGACGTTGTGACATACGCTCTGAATTAAATAAAGGTATTGACACCCTAAAAGCTTTCGTCGCCGCCGCTCAAAGCTTGGAAGCCCTAAACACTAAACCGACTGACCCTCCCTAACTCTCTGGAGAGAGCACGGGCAGGCACATGCTGTTTGAGCCACGCCTCCAAGAATTCCCCTTGGGGACCCACAATGCCGAACGGTTCTTGAATTTCCGTTGCTCTGTAGCGACCTTGTTGGGCCTTGTTGCCTTGAGAGGTTTTAACGCATAGAGAGGCTTCTGAATGTATTTTCATTCAGTACAAACCCTAGGGGTCGACGTATGCTAGTAAAACCTACATTGGGCCCTGAAGTCTGTGAATATCACCTACATTGGGCTCTTTAGATCCCTAGGGATCAGCAGGGTCCATGCAGGTATATAGTATACACGTATAGGGCCGAAAAATGGACCGTTTGGGAAAAGCAGGTACCCCAGCATCACGGTGAATCCGCTGCCACGGATTCCAGACTGGGTCTTTTCGCCTGCAGGGCAGCTCTGTTGCATTGCAGGGCGGTTCAGAATAATGGGAATACTCGTAGCAATAGTAGAAATAGTAATGACAGTAAGAAAAATCAGCAATGGTAGTATTAGATCCAAGTAGTCATAGTGAAGATATTAAGTGTTTTCCGTCATCGCGTGTAGATTTGCTCTGTCCGTCGGGACGGGGGCTTGCCACGTTCTGCCAGCTGCTAGCATGGAGGAGGGGGTGATGTTGCCAGTGACTATCCAACTTATGCACATGTGTGAACCAGCTGATGTTTGATTTGCGCAATCAATTTTCAGACTTGGCAGAGGGGCGGAGCATGTTGCAACAACAGTTCGCCCGCACCGTCTGTGAGTTGGGAATGCAACAGGGCTGCAGTTCCTTAGCATTTGATACGAAATCGAATGGCATTACCTTCTTATGCAGGTTTGGTGTTGGGATATACCAGTGGACTTACACCGCAGAGGGCCGTGGATGTTCGCCAATTAATGTGGCCTTTGGGCCCAACCCCGTATCATTGGTTAAAAAAAGTGGAACTGCTTTGTGAAGCGAAAACCCATCCTATCATCCCACGACTAGTTTATAGTAAAGCGTTACCCTGCTTGTTACTTTGCCTACTGTGTTCTGATTACTGTTCTTGAATAGTCGCAATATCATGGATACTCCTGCCAGCCTCAGCAGCTAGTACTAAAGAACTCTCAACCCCAAAGCTTACCCTCAAACAATAGCTTCCATTTTCTTTTCACTATATCCTCGCATAATCCCTACGTTACCCTTATATAGCCCCTACAATCCCTGATGCCCTTGATTGTGGGATCCCCTCCCCCCCTGCTCTGCGCGTAACTGAGGCAGGTGGAAGCTGCCCACACTCTGCTCGTCAACGCTTGGGACCCATGGAGCATGGTAGGAAATGGCCGCTTGTCCGCCAAATTTCCACACAGTCCATGTGGGTATATAGTATATACTTAGGCCTTGCTATATAAGTATATACCGTAGACCTGCAACCTGCATGGACCCTTTGGGATTGGGGTTAGTCGTTGATTGAGAGCATTTATGTTGGGTTCAGGATTTGAAAAACTTGGATGCGATAGGCCCTTTTCTTCAGTGCCCATGGTACGAATTGGTAGTTTCTTGGTAGTTTGAAAGCAATCTCCCATGGGCGTGGCTACAGTGGCCTTTAGATGATCCCAAAAACTATATAACAGCCCTTTGCAATTTGTTTTCCTCTAGCCTTGTACCCTGAATAGTTAGCTGCTTGCATGCTAAGAGCCAGGAAGTTGAGAGGCAATGTTTTCTGACTGGTGTTTAGGGCTCAGAGTTCAGCATCTCCAGTCCAAGCATTTTCCTGTTGAGCAACGTTATCCAATAAGAGCAAACTGTCCACCCGCCCATTGGGTCCCACAACATTATGAAAACATTTAACTCATGAAACGGCGCCCCCTAAACTCCCATCCTAGACTCTAACCCGGAACTCTGAACTGTAAGCCTACCCCCTGATCCCCAGACTCTAAACCCTGAACCCTAAGCTCTAAGCCATGACCCTTAGACTCTAAGCCCTGAACCCTAAACTTTAAATGCCCAGTAAGGAGATGGGCCAATGCCCAGTAACTCCGTTAAGATCTAAAGTATAATATGTCAGAGGGTTTGGGGGTAGGACATTCCTGAAGCAGATGGACATTGACATGGAAACTGTTTCTTACCAGGATATAAAGGAATTTTTGCTAATTTTGTTAGTTAGAGAGATGCCAAATGCTTCTACCAGGTAATGCGGCCGACAACAGCCTAGACGGCTTCTTTGGAAGGACTTGCATGTATTTTAGCATGTCATAGCGTGCTGGAATGGTTTAGGTTCTAGGGTTAAAGCACAACAGGTTGGGACCTTTTCTTCAATCAAAACGACCCCACAAATGGTGATTCAAGGAGCAAGCGCTGACCCATTTCATCGTGTAATTTTCAGAAGTTGGCAAGCACAAGAAGCCCTCCGCTTCCATCGTGAAATTGCCTGAATGCAGTCGTCCCATTGAGGCAAAGACCCAAAACCTTGAAGTCACTATATTGGGTTATATTGGGGTTGTATTTGGATAATGGAAAAGAAAATGGAAACTATTACAAAACTGGGGTTATTATTTATATATATATATACTTTGGCAGTTCGTGAACCATTGTAGATGAGGCCCCTGATGTTTGCGCGAAAATCCCACCTCGCTTGCGGCAGACGCGCAAGTGGTGAATGATGTTACCACTGGATCACACTTCTAACGTCCGACAGTTCTTGCTGCAAAGATTTGGAAGTTCAGATTCACCCCTCCTTTGAGTAAGGAGAAGAAATCTCCAGACGGATGGTTCTCCAAATGAAGTTCCATATATGGGCTGAATGCAGTGCTGTCCTCTGGTAAGGACCCCTAAGGAGCTGCATGGTCTTCGCATGTTTGTGTGGAAGGTCCCGGGTTTCCTGTCTTCAAATGTGTGGATGTTCAAGATTTCCCCGTTGTTGAAAGCTGGCTGAGAGCAGCCAAAGCCAGGGCAATAGGAATACTGTTGAACCTCTGCGTTCCAGACAGCGTGCTCAAGAAAAGTCCTGGATTGCAGAAGCAATGCGTTGCAGGAGTACAGCTATGGCAGTGCTTTGCTGGCCCTTCACAAACCCTTTTCTTTCGACGCTTGGCTGACTCTCTGAGGAACTCATGAAGATGTGTGTCATTTCCGCCTTCCATCACAAAATTCGCAAGATGGTTGTTGAGTCATGCCATCCCGTCCTCGTGCCCGTTGTTTAATAGGATGGGATGGTCAATCCCAAACCTCCAGAAGGGTCAGAATGACAGCGAATGTTGATTACCAGCACAAATACCTCCATGAAGAGTCACATTAAAAACAGAAATTGGCAGTAGAAATGCAGGCTGCCCGTAGAAGATGGTGGTGACGGATGAATGGTGATGCTTTTTACTTGCATGCTGCACTGTTGTGAGAGCTTGCATTCTCCGTAGCTTCCTCCCACACCTCTTGAGCCCACCACCCTGAACGAATTAGAAAAAAAAGCTGGTCTGCAGCAGCCCCACGCTTTCAGGGACCCAAACAACGAGAAAATCTGCTATGTGGAAGTGGATCCAGACCGTCCTTCCACGTGCGGCACTGAGCTTGGGATGCGGAGTGGGCGTATGATTGATACTAGAACAGGGGAGACTCAACGCAAAACGCGCTTGCCGTACCAAGTAACTATGTAAAGTCCTGATGTTGATTGTGGGAACCCCTGGTACTTGACTGGTGAGTCCAAGACTTTGGTTGGCGATTTACTGAAAAGCCCTGGCAAAGGAGTGGCTACGGACTCGGAACTATTCAGCTAGAAGTGGAGCAGATGTCATTGTCATTCTTGGGTCCTGCAACTTCTAGAGGTGCCGCATTAGCAGCAATGCTGACCTTAAACCGAAGTAAGCTATGTGCACGTTTCGAGCCTGGTCGCGTTTACAGCTTTACGGTAGCAGGCAAAATCCTGATCAAGGATACGCCAACTGATGCTTGAAAGTCTTTCCAACCCGGCTGTAAGAGGCCAAACGAGAGACAGCCTTCAGGCAACCTCCTTTTGGGCGGTTCAGCGTTTAGACTAAGATGATGCATTCATTACGGCCGCCAAATTGTCGATTGCGTGGAAAGATGATTCCTCTCCCCATACATAACAACAAATAACAACCGCCCTTCTGACTCCAATGGTCTAGGCCAGGCTCTTGAGTAGTATTTTATTTGCGAATACTTTGGTACCCAATATAGAGTAAGATTGTATCCTCTTTTTTGGGGTAGTGTATTTTATGTAAGGGATATAACCTTACTAGGTTCAACCACCAAAAAGGCACTACTCTCTTGAGGAAGCATCCATGTGCAGCTGCCAGAGGTGAACGATTTCTTGCTTCTGCAAAGCGCTTTCCTGGAAGAACTGCCAGTGCAGGAGTCTGGCAGCTTGGCCACAACGCTCAGAGGAAGAGTTAGTTCGAAGGGTTCAGGCCGTAGGGCAACTACTGAAGTGTGGGAGCCACTCATACTTTCCCAAGTTTTCTCACAATCGCAGCATCGGGAATTAATCCATCAGTGGAACAACCTCCT